CCTCAGCACCCTCACAGGGAAGATCATTTTAAATCAAATTAAAATCAAAAGCCTTTTTTGCCTAGGGTGAGAGCAGCGAGTGGTGCTGTTGGCTCTTACCTTTAGATGTGTAGTAAAAAACTTCTGGTGGTTTTTGTTTGCAGTTTAGAAAACATTTACAAAGAATTATCTACGGATATCGAGGACTTCACTCATCCTGGTCATGGTGATCTGACTGGCTGGGCCAAGCAAGGTGAGTTAATAGACACTCTAGTAATGAGCCAGCTATAGGTCATGAAAGAGCCTTGCTAGAAAACAGCCCTGTGCTTGGAAACAGTAAAAGAGAAAATCAGTTCTGGGTACGTGCTTAGTGGGTGCCTTAGAATGCAAATGTAGTTTGTCATTTCTCAGGCAAGCAGGAAGAATCAAAGCCCTGCTCTGCTGTTTCATGCTCTTGTGTCTGCTGTGTTTGGTAGGAGTGCTGCTGCTCAACGCTGTCCTCACGGTGCGGGCTCACCAGGCCACCTCCCACAAGGAGAGAGGCTGGGAGCAGTTCACGGATGTCGTGGTGTCCTGGCTCAACAAGAACTTGCATGGCGTGGTCTTCATGCTGTGGGGAGCCTATGCTCAGAAGAAAGGCAGCTCCATTGACAGGGTACAGCTTCTCCTCCTCTCTTTCCTCTCCATGTTCCTCAGTTGGGTGGACACTAGAGGGCACTTCCCTTACGGAATTGGGGTTTTCTTCCTTGCTTGAGCTCTGCTGTCAGATTCAGTTGCCTGTCTCAGCTTGGCCTTTGCCAGATTTAAGCAACAGAAGTGGAGCAAGTGTAACCTTCCGTTGTCAGAAAAGCTTCCACTTGAGGATAGAACTGCTGCCTTTTCTAGGAATAGTGTAGAACTTCCTGTTAGGATTACAGCAGTTGAAAGATGTCCAGGGCATTACTACTGCTTTACATAGTCCATCCTCCTCTGCTCAGTGGGACAGAAGTCTCACGCCTCATGGCCAGTTCTTTGGGTGCTCAGGCTGGTGGCTGAGGAGGTGTAGAGAGGACATCACACGTGGTCAGGGGTGAAGCCCCCAGCCTTGTCCTGGGAGCGTGTAAATCTAACGAGTGGTTTCCTCTGGTGCTTCCCAGAAACGCCACCACGTCCTGCAGACGGTGCATCCCTCGCCCCTCTCTGTCAACAGAGGCTTTTTTGGCTGTCGGCATTTCTCCAAGACAAATGAGTTGCTCAAGAAATCTGGGAAGAAGCCCATTGACTGGAGGGCGCTCTGAGCTGCGCGCAGAACCTGCTGGGGTCTGACGGCTGGAAACGGCCCCTGTTCCAGGGGTTGTCTTGTTCCTGAAAAGCTTTTGCTGACCTGGGAATTAGCCTTTGGGTGCTGCTCAAAGAAGAAATGACCAAACTTTCAGAAATATTATATTTTTAAATGATTATTTTAAGGAGCATTTTGGTGTGTTAGATGGAAAACTTCCGTTGTTGGATCAGGTCTCAGCCTGGTTTGAAGCAAAGAGAAACAGTTGTATGTTACCTTGTGGTTGTTGTTGTGATGGGAATGTATTTTCAGGCTCTTTGAAGGGATGTCAGTTCTCGCAGGTGAAGCTCTTCAGCTTTGTAAATACCCTCTTTTGCCTCCTCCCTCTGCTTCGCCTCCCACTGCAAATCCAGATTTCCTGGTTGGGGAATGTGGAGCTGACTCCATAGGACAGATGCTTTTGGTTTGAGCTTTTTGCTATTACAAGCTTTGCTAGGAATATGTCCTCTCGGGACTGTAAAGACTGGACTGTCAGAAGTGTTACTTGGTGTATCCATGCTCTCAAGGTTTGAGGGTAAATACCCCCAGCAGCCAAGAGGAGACACTGACCAAGGCTCTGGTTGTGCCCTGAGCTTTTTGTTGGCACTTCGGGAGGAAAACCCTTGGTTTTCACATTCTTCCTGGGTTGAAGTGTCATCGCTTGAGTGATGACAGGTGAGTTGTGATGACTGAACTCTGGTGCCTGCTGGTGGCTCCGGTTTGTTCACCAACATCTGCCAACTGATGGTTGCAAGTTACTGAAGATCTAAGATCTTACAACAGAGGGGGCCTGTGCTTTGCCCTCACGGGAGCAGACTCAGCTTTCCAGCCACTGTTGAAACTAATTGTGGGGCTTCCAGGGTGAAGACAAGGTTGGAGTTTGCACTTCTGGGCTCTGGTCCATCTTTGTCCATATTTTGTCCATAATTCCTTTAACTCAAGTGCCTTGTTTGTTTGGGAATGGTGTCAGTTCTTATAGAATATCCCTAGAAATCTTTCCTTGGCATTTCCTGTGACAGGTAACACTAGTACAAGGGAAGTTTATACTTTGCAGGGGGTTGTACTTCTTGCTTTGGGTTTTCCTCCAGTTCGTTCCCCCCCTCCCCCAGTCAGTTTGTTGGGTTCTTACCAGTTTGGTGGGTTTTTACCCCAGTTTGGTTTGGGTTTGTTGTTTTTTTCTTTTTTTAAATAAAAATCAATTCATGTTTATGATGTGATCAAGCAGTGGTGGGAAATGGCAGGCAGGGTGCTTG